CGGGGCCGTCTCAGCCTCATCAAGACTGTCCCACCCCCACCAGGGCCGTCCCAGCCTCACCGGGGCCGCCTCAGCCTCATTGGGGCTGTTCCAGCCTCTCAAGGGCCGCCTCGGCCCTACAGGGGCTGCCTCGGCCTCACGGGGGCCATCTCAGCAACACGAAGTTTGGCATTCTGTCCTTTGTCGGGCGGCTCCTTGATGGACAAAATCTCCAGGTGTTCCTGGTGGCTGAATATCTGGTATGCTTGCTTGGATTTCGTTGTCTACCAAGTGCACAGACTGCCTGTCTGCCATCTACCAGTGTCCCATGTGAGACTGGATCTGGTGGGCCTGCCTGTGCGTTTGCTGGTACAGCGGTTCCACATTGCCGGCTCAGCCATGCCCGGCTCCAGTTTCCTCCAAACCTGATTCTGCTTCTTTATTGTGTCCCTTATGTATGCGAGGAGTTGAAATCTGCATTCTGCTGGGCTAGGCTGCAAAAGCGTCGGTGGTTCTCTTTGTGTCACTAGCACAGCTTGGGTGGGGATGTAATTTGAGTAGGGCGCGGTCCCCGGGAATCACCAGGGCAGGGCCAAGGGCAATGGCGTCTTCGCATCTACTTGCCTCTCCGCAACTCAGTGACTCGCATCCCCGAGTGCTGGCGAGCAGCTCCGCGAGACAGCCACTCTCGCTCTCCGGCCTGTTGCAAGGCCTTCCTGCTTCTCCCCGTAGGGTTCTGGGACCTCAGGATCCCACCCCAAACATGCTCAGTGGATTTGAGAGTCTGCATTCCCTTCTGTTTGAAAAAAACCGCGCAGCCAGTTGCAGCCAGCTTGGCGTGCGACTCCGTACCTCCGTTCTTGGAGCCTCTGCACAACCTATTCAGTCTCAATGCTCTTCTTTCTTTCCTTCCAGTTGTAGAGCTTCCACTGGGCCAGCTTTCCCATGGTTCTGAATGACAACTGTTTCTTTTATAGTTGGTAGTCTCGATGTTGTTGTGGGAGGCAGCACGCACAGGTCTGTACCTTATGCCGCCATCTTGGTTCTCCCAAGTCACAATCTTTTGATAATAAATCTAGTACCATTACAAAGACCCCATTTACTATTAAGATTTCTCAGTAGTATCATGATTGCACCTACTTTCAATTCTAATTTATGACATGGCATTCTCGAAGAAGTAATACTTTTAAGAAATTTGATGGGAAAATTTTCCTTTTCGGCATCATCTGTTGAATCTAGTATAATTGTCGATTATACTGTCGTCTCTGAGTCTTAAAGCAATATCCGTTCCCCAGCCTTTTCCACCACGTGGGAAAAAAATAGGATATATCATTGAATCTAATGTAGGAAACTGGATACTGATTTGCTTCATTTTAGTGGCATTCGGATTACTGGGACCTGGTTTACAAAGAATGAGCAAGTCCCTTTCAAAAGGAGGTCCTCCATCTTCGTTTATGAATATGAGGGCAACTTCCGTTACACAGGGAGAATTATATCTACCCTATCACTATTACGATCATATTTAATTGCCATTGTTACTTCCATGAGACGCTACCACTTTCTTTCAGCTTCAGAATGTCAACAAAAACAACCAAATTCACAATCGACAATGACAGATAGAAATACTTGTGTGCAATTGGCGCCAGCGAGAGCTTTATATGTATCGTGCATGTGCGAGTAAACTTAGCCTTTTATAGATATAGAACAAATTTGCTTAATTAGACCTGCTTTCTGATGTAGCTAAACTTTTTCCAGCCCAGTGAAGCACCCGAACTTCTCTTTCAGGTAATTGTCAGCAACACAGCAGTAACTATCAACACAAAATACATTATTGAAAGGGAATTTTTAGGAGTGAAAAAGACAGGTTTAGGAAATTTTAGAAATTAAGGGGACCATGGAAGAAGCATAGGCTACAGAGCAGCAGAAGGTATATTTCCATAGAATAGAAGAGCTGAAAAGCTGCAACAGGTACATTTCCATAGAATGAGGGAGCAGGGAACAGGAAAAGGTCTATATTTACAAAATAAAGGGAAGGAAGCTCCTCATCTGAAAGGAGAGGAAAGCCCAAAAGGAATAGGAAAACAATAAGGAAAGAGGTTCAACCTTTGAGCTCAGGAGTTACCATAGTAACCAGTCCAAGGGAATAGTGACCAATCAGAGGGATTTCAAGGCACAAAGATCTGGGGCCTTTATAAGCCACTAGAGGCCTGGTGCACAAATTTGTGAGCAGCTGGGGTCCGGCCAGCCTGCCCTGATGCGGCCAATTGGGCTGGGTGGCCAGGGGGAGGGGCTGTGGGCAGTTGGTGGGCCGGCCCCGCCCCCTGGTCAAACTCCTGGTCAAGGGGACAATTTGCATATTACCCTTTTATTATATAGGACTAGAGGCCCGGTGCACAAAAATTTGTGCACTGGCAGGGGGTGTGTGTCCCTCAGCCCCACTTGTGCTCTCTCACAGTCTGGGACCCCTCGGGAGATAACGACCTACTGGCTTAGGCCCACTCCCAGGTGGCAAAGGGCAGGCCCAATCCCTAGGTGCCTGTCCCGCAGCTCCTGGTCGGGCTGAGAGCAGGGCCGATTGGGGAGTTGGGGCGCCGCCCCCTGTCATGCACAGAACAGGGTGGATCAGGAGGTTGCGATGCCACCCTCAGTCATGCTCAGGGTAGGGCCGATTGGGGGGTTGGGGCGCAGCCCCCTGTCACACTCAAGGCAGGGTCGATGGGGAGGTTGTGGTGCCACCCCCTGTCATGCACAGAGCAGGGTGAATCAGGGGGTTGTGGTGCCACCCCTGTCACATACAGAGCCGGCCGATCAGGGGGTTGGGGCGCTGCCCCCTGTCACGCACAGAGCAGGGCTGATCAGGGGGTTGGGGAGCTCCCCCCGTCATGCACAGAGCAGGGCCAATCAGGAGGTTGTGATGCCAACCTCAGTCACGCTCAGGGTAGGGCCGATTGGGGGGTTGGGGTGCTGCCGCCTGTCACACTCAAGGCAGGGTCGATGGGGAGGTTGGGGCTTTGCCCCCTGTCACCCACAGAGCAGGGCCAATCAGGGGGTTGGGGCACTCCCCCCTGTCACACTCAGGGCAGGGCCAATGGGGAGGTTGTGGCTCCACCCCGTCACACACAGAGCAGGACCCATGGGGGGGTTGGGGCGCCGCACCCTGTCACACACAGAGCAGGGCCTATCAGGGGGTTGGGAAGCTCCCCCCTATCAGGCACAGAGCAGGGCCGATCAGGGGGTTGGGGCGCCTTCCCCTGTCATGAACAGAGCAGGGTGGATAGGGAGGTTGTGGCCCCGCCCCCTGTCACATACAGAGCCGCAGGGCAATCAGGGGGTTTGGGCGCTGCCCCCTGTCACACTGCTTCAGGGGCCAGGAGGCAATGCTGCTCTGCTGATCCCGGTGCTGGGAGGCATATTACCCTTTTACTATATAGGATAGAGGCCTGGTGCACGGGTGGGGGCTGGCTGGTTTGCCCTGAAGGGTGTCCTGGATCAGGGTGGGGGTCCCCACTGGGGTGCCTGGCCAGGCTGGGTGAGGGGATGATGGCTGTTTGCAGCTGGTCACACCCCCTTCAGGGTGGGGGTCCCCACTGGGGTGCCTGGCCAGCCTGGGTGAGGGGCTGAGGGCCATTTTCAGCCTGGCAGGTGACTGAAGCTCCCAACCTCTCCTTTTTTCCTTTTATTTTATTTTATTCTGGGATTTATTTATCTTCTATGGCTGTCACTGGAGCTGAGAGCCGGCTCCAGCTCTGAGACCTTGGCTGCTGAAAGCAGGTTTCTGGCTTTGTTTACCTTCTGTATTTGAAACTTTGTTGCAACTCCAGCTCTGAGATCCCGGCTGACTGAAAACAGGTTTCTGTGGTTTTGTTTAGCTTCTATATTTGTAACAATGTTTCTTAGAGAGCAGCTCAGAGTCCAGCAGCGGCAGGCGGGGAACCTTGGCTTCCTCCATCACTGGAGCAAGCAAGCCTCCCGTTCGTGTCAGTTACCTGGCTGCTGGCCACCATCTTGGTTGGCAGTTAATTTGCATATCGCCCTGATTAGCCAATGGGAAGGGTAGCGAAGTTACGGCTAATTACCATGTTTCTCTTTTATTAGATAGGATAGGGAAAAGGAACTGAATGGGATTGTTCCCCCTGCCCACGTGGGAGTCTGTTCTGTGGGACCCTTTCTCCCTCCCCACATGGGAACCTATACTTGTTCTTCAATAAATTTCTACCTTTGGTATACCACCTTCTGCCCGTGGATTCATTCTTCGTTTTCCAGGGAAAAAGAGCCGGGGAACCAGTCTACCCAGGGGAATACCGTGTGTTCCAGTCCCAAAATTCCGTTTCATTCTTATTGTAGATCACGCAGGGAGAACGAAGGGTGAACTATTTAACTGCGGCAGTGATTGACTATATTCTGTGCAGTGAGAAAACCTGAAGACATTTTCAAGGTCCACCATTTCTTACTTCTTTTCAGTCGGGTCAAGTTTCTAAGCTCTCTTAATCTCCGTTTTCCAGCTAATGAAAAGAAAATAGGTTTCTATCGAGTCTCCTATCTATCTCCTCCAGGACTTCTGTGAGGGTCAAATGAGGTGAGGCAGGGGCAAGCCCTCACAGACGCTTGTTAGAGTGTGAAATGTTTGCACCTGAGGCTGGTCGGGGCTAGGAGAGGAAGCCAGGTGTGGCTACCTGACGTCATTACCGGGATGGTCGGACACTTAACATATTAGCCTGTTAATAGATTAGCATGTCGATTGTACATATTCCTTTAACAACAAGGCTGTAAATATTTGGTAAGTGAATTTCTTGAACTAATTAGCAGCACCGGGAAGCTGCCTTTGTGATAGGGGTAATCTTGAGGGTGGCTGGGGGTCCGCACCCCGAGGGCGGAGGCCTGATGGTCCCCGACCACAGAGCAGGTCTATGCCGGGAGAACCGGGCATCGCCCCTTTAACCGGACTCTCACCGGCCGGGCAATTTCCGGGGCGGTGTCATTGCCCCTTTAAGATCGGTGCGCCCGCTCCGCCCCCGAGGGCGGAGCTTCAGGGGACTTTAAGGGGCGGGCCGGCGGGCAGCGGGGTCTCCCGGGGATCTGGGTCTTGTGGGCTCGCGCCGCGGGCCGCCATTGCTTGGCATCTCCCGAGGGGCCTCCCCCACCTCAGCCTCGCTTGGTCGCCGCTGCGCCGTCCTCCCCCAGGTAAGCGCGAGGCCCAGGCCCCGCCGCCCCGGCTCGTCCCACGCCCCGCACCCCTCAGCTCGGGCCCGTCCTCGTTCGCTCGGGGGCTCCTCTGCGCTCGCGACCGGGGCTGCGGCCTCTCGCCGGGACCGTGTGTCGCCCAGAGCCTCCCGGCCTGGCCGGCTACACATTAAACCCGCCGGGAGGGGAGGGGCGGCGGCGGCCAATGGGCAGGGCCGCCGAGTTTCGGGCGACCCGTGCGGCGCGGCTGGATCGGGGCACCGGGGGCGAAGCGGGTGAAGGTGCGCCGGCCGCCTGGCCGCCCCGAGTGGCGGGCGGGGGTCGCGGGCGCGGAGGGGAGGGGAGCGGGGTCCGGGCGCGGAGCGGAGGGGACCGGGTCCGGGCGCGGAGGGAGGCCGCGCTGTCCGGCACCTGCGAGGGGGTGGCTTGCCGTCCAGCTGGCGAGGTGGGTGGGGCAGGTCCGCGGTTGGCGCGCCGGGAGCTCGTCACGGTCCCACGACAAACCGGGGCATCTGGGCGCTCATTCTCGTTTGGCTGGAACTTAGGTCCCGGGGGTCGTGAAAGCAGGTGTGGCCCGGACGACGATTCCGAAGGACCCTCCCCGGTCGGGGCGGGCGAATGGCGGTCCTTCGGCTGTAAATGCGAATTGTATTGGTCACTGTCTCCACGTTTACCGCGTCTCAGGAATTCCAGAGACCCACGTCTCTTGGGGCATTTTAAACGAATATCAAAAGCATAACTCGGTTTCTAACACAACTAACATGTCGTTGAACTCGGCCTAACATAGTGGGTTATTTGTGCATATAAACTAGTTTTCAGGGCTTTACCGCTTTTCTCTAGGTAAACGTCATTTAAAACGATATGTACAGTATGCCTTGTGTTGAATTATTCCCTTACAAATAAAAATCCTCTTACAGGAAAGTATGTTGAGATTACCGGGACAGAAGATAGTCCTGTGTTTACGGCACTTGCTGCGTATTGGTATATTGCTTTATTAAAAGCAATTGCTTACCAAAGATTGTGGCCACCAGCCATGTATGAAAGTACACACAAACTTTTGAGTTTTACATCGGCATAAACACTTAATTTAGGTAGCACAGGCAATTTGTATTTTTATGATTGTAAAGGAAACCCTTCTTGTTAGGGTACTGCCAGAAAATTAGAAACAGCAGATTAAAAATTAGTATTTTTTTTTTAACCTACCATCCAAAATTTCCCCTGTAGGATTTGTGTCAGACACATTCCTTATTGAGTGCCTACTCTGCGTCTTGCTGTGCCCGCTCAGTGCCCGCTCAGCCATGATGTGAATGAATCCCAGTAGGTCCCTGTCCTGGTATCTTCGTGAGGGACGTGCCCAGTAACACAAGTAATTTAAACAATTGGGTGTTTAATTACAGTTTCTTTAAGGGTCATAAAAGGAATCAGGAGTCAGGAATGTTTTTCTGAGGAAAAGACATTTCAGCCAGAAACCTGAAATTAGTCATGTGAAGTGGGAGCGGGCGGGGGAGTGGGAGAGGTGGGCAAGGAGCATTCCTAACAGATGGAGCAGAAGGGGAGAGACTCGGGCGGAGCGGAAGGGGCACCGAGCGGAACCAGCAGCTGGCGGTGCGCTGCCACGAGCGATCCAGCCAAGTGGAGGAGCTGGGCCAGGGAGCAAGGAAGGACATTGACCCTTCTAAGCAGGGGTCAGATTGGTGGTTGCAAAAAATCAGCATGCAGAACGTGGGAGGTGGGTGTGGGAAACGCGTGAATATGGGGACATTTTTTTAACAAAATTGAAAAAACTCTTGACATCTTATGTTCTGATAGAAAATTTAACTACCAACATGACCCTCTCCAGAGATAACTTCACTTAACAGTTTGCATGTCCTTCTATTCCTTTTGTGCCTATAAGATATAATAAGTAAATATATATGTACGTATTCCACCTCAGTGTGGGATAAAACTATATTCCTTTTTCTCTTGATTTCATTTTTCACTTAAAATTTTGTGTCTAAGATCAACTGTATTTTAAAAACAGCTATGTTGTATGCCATTGTATGTACCATAATTTAACTACTTGCATGTTGAGGGGCATATTTAAAGTTTTCTTAAGTTAATTATGTCCTGAAAAATCCTTGTTTCTACAACTTGAAGCACATGTGGGACTATTTCTTGAGGATATCCCACCAGAAATAGAATTGCTGAGCGAAGGATATGCACGTTAAAACTTTGTTGTCTGATCCTCCTCCAAAGAGGACAGTGTTTTTTTCCCCATATCCTCTTCCACACTGGCCATCTGTAAGTCTCTTAAATGACAGACAGTATCTTATTTTTTAAGTTTGGATTTTCTTGGTTAATAATGTTGAGGTTGAACATCATTTTAATGGATATTTTCATTGCCTATCACTTTTTGGAGCTTGTTTCTTCATATCTTCCCCATTTGTTTTTCTATTGGGCTTATCTTAATGATTTGTGATAATTCTTAAATAAACTGCATGTTAATCTTTCAAAAATTTTTTCTGGTTTTTTTTTTTTTTTTTTTTTTTTTTAGTGTACTGTTTCCTTCTAGTATTCATTTCTTTCACTTTAAATCTTTAGTTCATCTGAAATTTATTTTCATGTAAGTTGCTTTTATGTTTTTGTAAAAAGAACTGACTTGTGGAATTGGTTTTTATAGTTCTAAGTACATAGTTATTGAAATTCTAAATCGGGAAGAAGCTGGGTTTTTTCTTAGCCGGTTAATTCTGTATAGTGAGTCTATTTTGAAGGTGTAGAAGTGAAAGTCACAAAACTTGTTTTATAATTCACTTGCTTTCTAGAAACCTCAAAGGTGTAGTACATTTTGATATTCTTTTCCTTAAAAAACTTTATGGAAAAGTTCAACATATACCAAAGTAGTCAGAAAAGTATAATAAACCACATGTACCCATTATCCAGCTTCAACAGTTATTGGCCAGTTATCTGGCCAGTTTGTTTAATCTCTAGTCCCACTTCCTTATATTATTTTAATGCAAATACTAGACCTCATATAATGCCTTCTATAAAAATATCAATATGTATCTTGAAGAGATAAGGACCCTTAAATATAACCATTCAAGTTATTCTAAAAAATTTATAAAAAGCACAGAAAATGTATCTTTTCACATTTTCCTGATGAGAGTATAACTTTGAAATAACATTTTTGTAATTAAAAATTTAATACCTGAACCCAAATCAAAGCACGGTGTTTAAGTTATATCTTTGTTGTGTATAGTATTCTCATTAACATAAAAGAGGACACATTTTTGGAGGTTAAAAAAAACAGATAAGGACTTTTTAAAACATTTTTAATACTACTATTTTATCTAAAAATAAAAATGGCAGTGATTCTTTTTAAAAAATGTGTTTTATTGATTTCAGAAAGGAAGAGGGAGAGAGAGATAGGAACATCAATGATAAGAGAGAATCATTGATTGGCTGCCTCCTGCATGCCCCACACTGGGGATCGAGCCCGCAACCTGGGCATGTGCCCTTGACCAGAATCGAACCTGGGACCCTTCAGTCTGCAGGCGGACGTTCTATCCACTGAGCCAAACCAGCTAGGACCAGTAATTCTTTAGTTATCTATCATAAACAATCCAGTCAGTGTTCAAATGTGTGTGTATATGATTTATATCCTTGGGAAGTTCAAATGACAACTGTCATGGCTTTGCCAATTTACATAATTACATAGGAGTATGCCTACTTGTAAAAGGAGGATATAATCCTCAATTTATAGCTATTGAATTATTTTTACTATGTTGGTGTTTATGTTAATAGTTCATATTTTATATTTATGTTTACAAATGCATCTAGTTTAAAGCAGCAACTGGTTATGCAAGATTTGTTAATTTTATATGTATATGTATATATAAAACAACAAATGTGTCTTAAAATTATTTTATTTTGGAATAATTTTAGACTGTGTTACAGCGGCTCTCAACCTGGGGATCGCGAACAATGAAAATACATCCTGCATATCAGATATTTACATTACGATTCATAACAGTAGCAAAATTACAGTTATGAAGTAGCAACGAAAATAATTTTATGGTTGGGGGTCACCATAACATGAGGAACTGTATTAAAGGGTCGCGGCATTAGGAAGGTTGAGAAACACTGGTAGAAGTTAAAACAATAGTACAGAGTTCCCATATACATTTCACCTAGCTTTCCCCAATGATAACATCAGACAACTAAAAAAAAAAGATTATTTTAATTAGGATCTAAAATAGGTCCACACATTGTGATTATTTGATATGTATTTTAAGTCTCTTTTAAACCGTACCTTTGCATCTCTTTATTTCCCCCTTGCTATTTGTTGAAAATGCTGAATTAATATTTTTGAAAAATACATTCATCCCATATGCTTTGTTTACATTTTCATTCACCCCTTCCTCCCTCCCTCCCTCCCTCCCTCCCTCCTTCCCTCCCTCCCTCCTTCTCCCTCCCTCCCTCCCTCCCTCCCTCCTTCTTCCTTCCTTCCTTCCTTCCTTCCTTCCTTCCTTCCTTCCTTCCTTCCTTTCTTTCTTTCTTTCTTTCTTTCTTTCTTTCTTTCTTCTTTCTTTCTTTCCCTGTGCTCTTTGATAATTTATTTCTAAAGTGAGTGTTTTACATGAATGATGCTGTGATGTAGTAGAAAGAGAGACCAAGATTTGGAGTCAGAAAATCAGGGTTTGAGCCCTGTCTTCATTATTTACTACATAATGGTCTTGGCCGCCTGGCTGGTGTGCCTCAGTGGTTGAGCTTCGATGTATGAACCAGGAGGTCACAGTTCGATTCCTGGTCAGGGCACATGCCCAGTTTGGGGGCTGGATCCCCAGTGTGGGCTGTGCAGGAGGCAGCTGATTGATGTTTCTCTCTCATTGATGTTTCTAACTCTCCCTCTCCCTTCCTCTCTGTAAAAATTCAATAAAATATATTTTTTTAAAAATAATGGACTTGGCCAATGGTTTAATTTCTCTGACCCTGAGTTTACTCATGCAAATAAGATAGTACTT